TCTCAAGAAACAGTTGTTTAGCCTTCCTTTCTGGAGGCATTCGCAGAACATACCCAAACCATCGCAGTTGTGACTTCTCAATGTGGAGAAGCAGAGGCCACACACCAAGGCTATCTCGGATGTCAGTATTGTATCAAGGCCAATTGCAGGCAAGGACATGGTCTGATGACTCGCACTCCTATGCATGACTATGCCAGAACATTATGTTCCCTACTTGTTCCAATCAACAACTTTCGACTCTATTCGAGGTTGGTTTTACTGAAGCACAGTGAGCCAATTTATTCCAAACGGGAATTAGCAGTTACCTCACTTGACTTAATGATTGTCACAAAGGTTTACGGCACCCTAGCGCTTCTTGTCAAAACTTTTCAGTGCCTCCGATCCTGCACAATATACTATATGATTTGTTTGTCATTAAGTGCTACCCAGTAGAGTTAAGATCGAACGACTGAGATTTCGCCTCAAAGTTACTGTCGAAAGAGTAACTTTTTACCTGTTCTTTGGCGTTTTTGAGTTCGCACACTACGAATCATGATGCTGATCAGCCATCTATCACTCCGCCTTAATGCATGACCGAAGGTAATAGTTATAGTTTCCTTATAAGTCTGGAGGACAGTTTATAGTAATACATTCTGATTTTTACTATTTACTGATAAATTTTTAAAGTATCCTTGAAAAATTTAGAACTGATTATTTGATGAATGAATAAAATTCTGTTAATAGCAAAATCCCCCACTTGCACAATTCAAAGCATTTAATATCTTTTGAGACGGCGAACAAATTTGCATTTGTTACGCAAACGTTTTTGTACAAACAAACAACAATAAATAAAACTTTTCAAAATAAGCAGAAATCAAGATATGTTAGCAGACTTTTTAAGAAGCTTTATTGAAGCGTTTCTGAGTTCGAAAAGACCCGGAGGAAACATGTCAGCACGCTTGGGAGATTGAGCAGCTTCATTACGGCATTCATTGTAGTTTTCTGGCAGGAAACCACTTTTTACTGAGAAGGATGACGTCAGCGACGACTGACCTTGAGACATAAGGAAAACATTCTCTAGGACTGTAAAAGATGTGCCAGCAGAATTGGTGTTCAACGAGGGTGCTTTCTGAGGACTGCAATTTCTGTCAGCTGAATTTTGCATTTCGTCGTTCAAAGCAACAGAGTCAACGATTTCGGGTTTCGGTGTTTCCAGTCGTGCATATTCGTGTAGTGACAAAAGATCACAGCTGACTTCGAAATTTTTCAACGACGATGTAACCTCGTTTTCCTTGATCATCAGTAGCTTATCAAGTGCTGTGGCACTCTGTGCCACTTTAGTATCTGAATCAACGTCAAGAGGAAAATGTTCATTCGCTTCCTCTACAGCTATTACCTCGAGAGTCTCGTTGACGGAGTCATCTGAGAAGTCAAAATTTTCAAATGAATTAAGGCGACTTCTGTCATTCAAGTTGTTTGAAGAACTATATTTTGGACAATTGGTACAAAGTTCATGGCTCCCATTTGTTCCCTGTACATGTCCACCATTAAACGACTTACTCACATTAACACGTGTCGAAGACGGTAACTTCACAGAGCGTGGATTTGCCCTTGGCAAAGTGTTGCACACATTGCTACATTGCGAATCGACAGACGGTGGAACAAGGCGTCTGAAACCCTGTGAAATTTCCACTTGATCAGTGTATTCGATAGCAGAGTCTGCCAGATAATCAAAGGAAAAAGAAGAACGGCTTCTCGGATTCGCATCTTCTCTACCCAATCCACAATGCATGAGAACATCTGAAACAACAACAAAATTAAATATAAAGTAGTTTGGTACCAAACGTTTAGTTATTAATAATTTATTACAGACAAACTGACGCATACAAACCGATATGGTGATAATTATATTTATTTGG